ACAAGCTAGTGAATCTTTGCTTTGGCTCAGCCTGCGGTGGGAGGGGGCAACCTCCTCCCTCACTGCAGTACCATTCCCCTCAGGGCATGGGTCTTACTCCTCTCATGCCCCCTCCCCAGGTTGATTGTCAAACCCACACTGACCTTTGGGGAGGTGTTACCTAATCCAGAAGGCCCCTTCTGAGTTTATCCCTGGCTCGGGTGAAGGGCGCATGTCCTAGTACCAACTTCAGCCGTCCCCCTGTCCTGCTCGGTGCTGGCTCTGATCCCCTTGGCTCCTGGAGGTGGCTTGGCTCAGGTTATTGGAAAAGAAAATATTTCAATTCTGGGCACAACTGCCAAGGCTCACTGTGAGGTGAGCACCACCATCCTGGCTTCTTCTAGCTGCAGATCTCAGAGTGCTTCGCACAGGAGGCTGCTGTTACTTCTGGGGGAACTGAGGCACTGGGAAAGGAAAAGGTTACTTCTCACAGCAGAGCTGGGACTAAAACCCAAGGTGTCCTGAGCTCCACATTGCTGCATTAACCACTAGGCAACATTGCTGCAGGTATCCTCAGCCAGGGCCATGTCAGAAGAGGGTCCCCCCAACCAGCGTTCCCCAGTCCAGCTGCTGTTTCTTGTGCAGCACTCCTTTTCTGGGTCATTGAGCATACAGTGGTCGTATGGCCAGCCATGCCCATGGACAGGACACTACAGTGAGAGATCCCTCTCCCAAGGAGCTGTCAGGCTAAGTAGACAAAGTGTGATGGTGGGGACACAGAGGCACTGGCAGGGGATGGCCCAGTCCCAGCCCATTGCCTCATCCACCAAGCCAGGCTTGCTCCGGTGAGTGCTCCTTGCCATTGGCCAGTTCGGAGGATATCACTACAACAGGAAGTATGTCACAAAGCAAGGATGATGGAAAAGTGGAGCCAATGGGTGTGCCTGAAGCTCCTTTGATACAAACCTGTCTTCCTGGACTTTAAGAAGGCCTTTGACTCGGTTTCCTACCACATTCTCTTAAAAAAACTTGATGACTGTGGCATTGATGCCTCTACAGTTAGATAGGTGGCAAATTGGCTAGATGGTCGCACCCAGAGAGTGGTGGTGGACGGGTCATTTTCAACCTGGAGGGATGTGGGCAGTGGAGTCCCCCAGGGCTCGGTCCTGGGGCCTGTACTGTTCAACATCTTTATCAGCGATCTGGATGTGGGTGTGGAAAGCATGCTGTCCAAATTTGCTGACGACATCAAGTTGTGGGGCGAGGTGAGCACGCTGGAGGGAAGGGACAGAATCTAGCTACATCTAGACAGGTTACAGAGGTGGGTGGATGAGAATAGGATGGAATTCAACGCAGACAAGTGCAGGGTGCTGCATCCTGGATGAACATGAGCCGCCAATACGAGGAAGCAGTCAGTAAGGCTAACCGCACCTTGTCATGCATCTACAGATGCATCTCAAGCAGGTCCAAGGAGGTGATCCTTCCTCTCTATGCGGCATTGGTCAGGCCACAGTTGGAGTACTGCGTCCAGTTCTGGATGCTGCACTTCAAGAAGGATGTGGCTACATTGAGAGGGTCCAGAGGAGGGCCACTCGCATGGTCAAGGGGCAGTGGGCCAGGCCCTACAAGGAGAGGCTGAAGGGCCAGAACCTATTCAGCCTCCACAAGAGACAGCTGAGAGGGGATCTGGTGGCCATTTTCAAACTCAGCAGGGGGGACCAGCGGGAACAGGGGGAGGCTCTGTTCCTCCAGGCACCACCTGGGGTTACTAGGTATAACGGCCACAAATTGTTAGAGGGAAGGTTTGTTAGGAGACATTACTTTACAGTTAGGGCTGCCAGGCTCCGGAATGGGTTCCCAAGTGAGGTGGTGCTCTCTCCTACCTTGGGGGTCTTCAAGAGGAGGCTGGACAGATATTTGGCTGGGGTGTTATGATCCCGGCACCCGTTCCTGCCCAGGGCAGGGGGTGGGACCAGATGATCTGTTTAGGTCCCTTCTGACCCTAAGTACTATGGTACTATGATACTGTCTGTGCCCAGCCCAGATCCTGCAATAACAGACCTGTCTGTTGGCTGCTGTGCCTCAGCAATGCTAGGGTTGCTCTAGCCAGGGCAGAAGACTCATAGTCATCTGCAGGGGGCCTCTGCCCCAGGGCAGGGGCAGCTCTGGAGAGCACAACAAGGATGGGTGTCTGTGGGGTATGGAGAACCCTGGTCCTGTCCCACTGGGTCTTTGCTCTGGGGGCTGCTGTAGCCTCAGATCCCAGTGAATGAACCATTAACAGTAGGTGCCTGGCCCAGAGCTAGGGGCAACCATGATCCTTGAGCCACCTGAGGCAAGGTTTTCCTTGGCCAGGGACAGAAGGACTTGAGTGGACACATGATAACCTGTAGGACCAGCAGCAGTGGCATCTGGAGCAGCAGCGACCCTTGCTGCCAGTGGTGAACTGGTGGGAACCCCTGGCAGCAGAGCAGTACTGTCCAGTAGCACAGCCACGACAGCAACTCCACCCAGCGATTCTCTACCCAGCACTTGCCACCTTGACCAGCCTAGGTGGTACAGCCTCTGGACTGCAGCCCTGGATAAGCCTCCTTTTCCAGTGGGCTGGACTAGGTGGGAGCTCCCCCAGCTTGGTTTGCTAGTGACTGAGAGACTACTACCTGCTTGGGGTTTCAGTTAATGTGTAATATAGTTCAAGTTTTCCTTAAGGCCATGTATTGGTTCCCTTGTCCTCTAGAACAAATCCTTTTTTAGTTGAATATTGCTTGCGAGTAGGGAAGTTTATTCACTTTAGAACACCCAGCCACAATTCATTTTCCCAGGCATCTGGGTGGGGGCTCAAGCCAGAATAGGAAGTTGGTATTAAACCCCCAAACCTGAAACTGGCCCTTGCTACTGCTGTCCAGGGCTACACATGGAACTGTGTGGGCGTGCCGTGGCTGGGCAGAGTGAGAGCAGGGGCTGCCCACTGCACCCAGCCCTACCAGACACCATCAGTCCCACCCACTGCCCTGCTATTGCAGCCCCGGGCCCAGTGAGTGTGCCTGTGCAGTGACTGGCATGGTGAGGCCTGACCTTAGGGGTACTGCGTGCAGCAGAGTCACCCAGTGAAGCAGTAGAGATGACCATGATGCCATCCAGAGAGCTCTCACAGGCTGAGCAATCCCCAGGGGCTCAACAGCTTGGGGAGCAATGGGGAGTGCTCTTGGGGTGCCGCCTGGCATGGGTGCCAGGAGCACCCACCCAGGTTTGTCTCTTTGGCAACCAGGCAGCTTGGACCCACATTGCTACTAGGTAAAGGCACACATCCTTAACTGTGCCGAAGGGACCACTGGGTAGGGGTGTGGAGACACAGCCTAGGACCAGGAGGCTGGACTCCTGGGTTTTGTTTCTGGATATGGGAAGGGAATGGGGTTTAGATGGCAGAGCAGGAAACTGGGAGCCAGGACTCCTGGGTTCTGTCCCGGCTCTCAGAGGGAAGTGCAGCCTAGTGGATCAGAGCAAAGGCACTTGGGGCCAGGGCTCTTGGGGTCTGTTCTCAACCCTGGGAGGGGAGTGGGGTCCAGCTGATTCTGGGTGCCAGAGTCCTGTGTTCTCACCCAGCTCCAGGAAGGCAGTGGGGTTGAGCAGTGGAATGCATGCCTGGGTTCTGTTCCCATTTTGTGGCCGACTTGCTTTGGAGTCTGACTTTCAGAGGTGCTCGGTTCCTGATCCCATGGGAACTTTTCAAGTCACTTATGAACCAATTTGTCTCCAGTGACTTGCAACTGTCAGGGCTCTTGGCCTTGCTGCTTATCTGCCTGGGGTGGAGTGCAGGAATGGCAGTGATGGATGGGGATGGAGCCTCACACTTTGGCAGGTCCCAGCATGGGAGGTCAGTTTTGACAGGTCCCATCTATTGAAGGAAGAAAGGGGAAGTAGCTCTGAGGGACTCATGCCATCTCCCTGGGCAGCAAGATCCAGTGTGGAAGAAGGGGAGGTGGCTGCCATCCCTCTAGGGGCCTTGGTGCTCTCTGCAGCTCCCCAACTTGTCCTGCCCTCCTCCTGCTCACCACTGTCAGCACAGCTCTACATGCCATTGGCAAGCATATCCAGGGAGCTGCCTGTCATACCACTGCCTGGCTAACAGCAGGGCATTGTGGAGAATGGGGAGGATTTTGTGAGCATCCAAAATGTACTCCTGTGATGCCCCTTGGGGGCTATCCCACAATCCCCCCACCTTGGAAGCCTCCTGCCAAGGAAGGGAGGAGGTTCCCCTGTGAACTTGCTTATGGCTGAAATAATGGGATGCTGCACTCCCAAGGCAGGGGGCTACCCAGAAGCCTCTAGGGCAGATGCACCATCAAGGGGCGGCAGGAGTCTGGGACTCCCAAGAGAAAAGGAGCTGGGCAGGGAGAAACCAGAACAAATAGGAATGGGCCACCCTGGTTCTCTCAAGAGACAATACCATGATACAAAGCCATCAGGTGCTGCTTACCTGCAGGAAGAGC